GGGGGGTGGGGGGGCGACCCCGCCCCCACCAATCAATCAATCAATCAAGAAAAAAAAAAGAAAAAAAAATGTGTTTTTTTTTTTTTTCCCGTTTAATCAATGAGTCAATCAATCCATCAATCAATCAATCAATCAATCAATCAATCAGTCGTGGGGGGGGGCGACCCCGCCCCCACAAATCAATCAATCAATCAATCAATCAATCAATCAACGAAAAAAAAAGAAAAAAAAACGCGTTATTTTTTTCTTTTTTCTTTTTTTCGACTCGGTTGGCCAAACCCCCCAACCAAAAGTTGTTTTTTTTTCATTTTTTTTTGTGTGGGGGGGTGGGGCAGGGGATGCGCCGTCCAATGGCGCTTCCAGAATCCCGACACCCCCTCCCCTCTATCTGCCACGTGGCGCCAAATCCGCTCGTCCGCACGAACTCGTCCGCGGCCGCGGACTTGGCCGCGCCTGTCCGCCGCCGGGGGGTATTCATAGGCAACTAATCCTGGCTGCATGTCTCGCATCGCCTGAGTGACTTTCTTCACCGAACCTAATCCATCAGGCCGAGTCTTCATCCACGACTGCGGAGAAAAACTGTCTAAACCTCTACCCTCTGAATGCAGTGTCCCTGGTCTTGATGAACGACCCTCTAATCCACCGCGCCCACTATCCCATGACCTCGTATTTGCCACGTATGAGGCCCTGATGCTCTCCATCTGCCCCACAGGATCCCAAGGGGGGGGGTCACGCCTGTCATGGAAGAGGGCGCAGACGGGCTACATAGTGCATATGGTGGGGCGGCTGCCCATCCTCCATCCGCCCTCGTCGAGCTGCCGCCAAAGGATCCTCCCTCCCATCGCACTCCAAAATTGTTGTGGGCATGCCGCCACCCAAGGGGGGGGGTCACGCCTGTCAGGGAGGCCGACGACTGCTGAAACGGTTGCCTGCTCGCCATGTCGCTCATCTGCACACCACTTCATATGTGCAGCACACGCAATACTGCCACTACCTCCTCCTGCATCCGCCTGATGCCAGCCACCCGTGGTTTGTCTGTCCTCCTCGCATGCATCATGTCGAGCAACTGCATTCGATCCTCCATGAGGTGCATCCCCTTCATCGACAGCCTCATCACCACCTCCCTCCGCATCGTCATCCTCACCTCGAATGGGGTCAAGTCTCGGTCTGCAAACTCTGCCATCACCCTGCGCGGGTTGGGGGCCGTCCCCCTCCTCAACCTCCCCGGCATCCTGGGTCCGCTTCCCCGTACCGCAGGTATCCCGACGATCTGCCGCGTCGACGAGTGTGCCCTCCGTCTCAAGGGCGCGAGCAGCATCCAAGGTCGCTCTAATATCCTGTGTCACAGGGCAGGACTGAGCAAGCGCCAGCGCTCGCTATCTCTCCTCTCGGTCCCTCCTGTCCACATTTGTCTCCATATTCATCTCCTGCGTGAGTGGACAATCGACATCATCCCTCGTGCGCCGCATGGCCCATCCAGGAATTCCCTCCATCCCCCGAGCCGCCTCCATCAATGAACTGCTCGAAACACCCCCGCCAATATCCAATCCTCGTACAACGTGGTTGATAGGTGTCTTGTCCGCGGCAATCCAGTGGGGATCACGCCTGTCATGGAAGAGGGCACAGGCGGGCTACATGGTGCATACGGTGGGGGGGCTGCCAAAACTCTCCTGCTGTCATCCTCCATCCGCCCTCACCGATCTGCCGCCGAAGGATCCTCCCTCCCATCGCACTCCAAAACTGTTGCGTGCATGCCGCCACCCACTGGCAAGGGTGACACAGAAGCTCCCTTCACAACCACGTCAAGGAGGCCGACGAATGCTGAAACAGTTGGATGCTCACCATGTCCCTCATTTGCACACTGCTACATATGTGCAACACATGCACTACGGCCACTACCTCCTCCTGCATCCGCATGATGCCCTCCACCCGTGGTCCTTCTGTCCTCCTCGCATGCATCATGTCGAGCAACTGCGTTCGATCCTCCATGAGGTGCATCCCCTCCACCGACAGCCCCATCACCACCTCCCTCGGCATCGTCATCCTCACCTCGAATGGGGTCAAGTCCCGGTCTGCAAACTCTGCCATCACCTTGCGGGGGTTAGGAATCGTCCCCCTACTCAACCTCCTTGGCATCCTGGGTTCGCTCCCCCGTACCGCAGGTATCCCGACGATCCGTCGCGTCGATGAGTGTGACGCCCGTCTCAAGGGCGCGAGCAGCATCAAAGGTCGCTCTAATATCCTGTGTCACAGGGCAAGACTGAGCAAGCGCCAGCGCTCGCTGTCTCTCCTCTCGGTCCACCTATCCACATCCATCTCCTGCGTGGGTGGACAATCGACATCATCCCCCAAGCGCCGCATGGCCCCTCCAGGCGTACCCTCCATTCCCCGAGCCGCCTCCATCAACAAACTGCTCAACACCCCCCCGTCAATATCCAATCCCCGTACAACGTGTCTGATAGGGTGTCTCGTCCGCGGCAACCCGGGCCTGTCCATCATCATGGGGGGTCGGTGGAGGACCCATCGATAAGTCGAGAAAATCAGTAAACGAGCCGGTTGCGGTGGCTTCGTCATATGCAGAGGCTGAATGGTCGTGGACAACCTCGGATCTACCCCTGCGGGGGGAAGAGAAGTCTGTCCTCCCAATCGTCCACCTCCTCCTCCCTTGTTCCCCCCCCCGGCACCACGATCTCTTCCGTCAATCTCGCAGAACGTTGCTGACCCTGCAGCCCAGTGGCAGTACTCTGTCGATGACCGTCCTCACCTCCCGGTGTGGTGTCGTCCGCAACCTTGCCGAAAGCCATATCGTCGTCGGACTCGCTGCTGCCCTCATACCCTCTATTGTCGTCGTCACTGACCGTGTCGATGGATGTATGCTGCCGTCGTCGAATGGACGCCCTCGGACGCTGTGCCTCTGTATGACCTTCCCTATCAACTACCGCAAGTGCAGGTGCAGTACTGTCTCGCAGGCGAGGCAAAAGATGAGGACGGACCGAGGTCGAATCTCTAGTCTAACGCCACATCTGTACAAGAGGAACATCATCGTTGGAAGACCGCTCCAACTCCACATCTAGGTCATCCGGATCTAACCATGGCTCCTCCTCAATCTCATCCTGCGCGAGAGGGACGGGCTCAGGGCCGTACACTGCCTCCTCTTCATGTGGCAAAAGAATAGTCGCTCGCCTACCGAAGTATCTCTGCACGATCGCGGGTTGTCGAGTGAGCGAATCCTTCCGCGCCTTCCGCTCCTGCCTGTCCACCTGCTAAGTGGAGACCTTGTCCGCGGGGCGGACTCCTTTGTCACGGGGGTCCGGTCTCTCGTCCCCCATGGCAACGACCTCATCCTCCCACGGGAGGACGTACCCCACACCCCTCCTTTGACATTGAAGCAGTCTCAAATTGGTGGCTATCCCCACCAAACGAGTGAGTATGATAAAACCAAGATTGTTACGCTGCTTCACCTGACCGCGCTCGTGGACATCCCAATTCCTCTCTGCAGGAGAGGCACATGTCCACATGTGCATCCGATGAACAACGAGAGTCTGCAACAAAGGAACACCGCCACCCCATTGCACCCACCACTTACCAACCGCCGATGTCTCCTTCTCCCCCCTGCAACTCTCCGCATCTCTGTCCCTGTCGCGACCTCCATACGTGCAATCGCCCTCTCGACTGTGGAACTCCCTCAAAACTGTCCTCAAATCCAGATGCAGCTGCCTGTCTGATCATGCCTGTTGTCGGAGGTAAATGTCAGACTCCTTCGCCAACTCCCTCTCGTTATCTGTCCTCCGCGCCCCCTCAAAGTAAGCAATGCTCTTGTGGCGCGGGTTAAGGATGTGGGTCATGTAATGAGCAGGCTCCAACATATGCCTCCTCCGAGCCTGCAGACCTCTAACTTGAACCAGAGCGTCGAGCTCTGCACGGGTGGTGTGCCAGGTGGGCACCTGAGCCACCCTCTGGATGACCCTCTCTGACCAGGACCACAACTGCGATATCACGCAGCCCGTACGATCAAGTCTACGCAGCAACTGCATGATAGGTGTCATCAACTCCACAATATCCTCGACGTCATCCCAAAACGCAGCGAATCTGACCTGCTGCCGCACCCATTGGAACTTAAGTGATAAGCTCCGCCTCCACGATTGTCGCAACCACTCGTCGCTGATCATCATCTCCTCAAGCGTGTGACGTCGCTCCAATAGTCTCTCTCTCTCTAACATGAAATAGTGTGTGACAAATCTGGTTTGCAACGGGTAAATGAGCTCCCGACCTCGACAAGAGTTGCCACTCGAAGCCGACGCAGGCGCTGTCTGCCATTTGGGAGGGTGGCGTGTGGAGAATCGCCTAAATAGGGTGAGGGTAGCCTCTTGAAATCGAATGAATCGCATCACCGCCCTTGCTCTGAGGATGGTGTCCTCCCTGTGTCCAACGACACCATCTCTCCCATCCTTGCCAATGTCTGACAACATCAAGTTGCAGACATGCCTTGCACAAGGAAGCCAAGTGATGCGACTGTATTTGAGATCCTTGTCCTTCGCAAGGAGCTTCGCAACTGCAATGTATGTCCCCACGGAATCCATACAAATAGTGTCGACATTTTCAACGCCAAAGTCGCCAAATATCTTCTTCCACCTCCTCACAACCACATCCGCCGTGTCCTTCTCAGCCCCGTTTCTCAGGACTGTCCTCAACAGGTACGCCTTTGACGATCTGGCTGCCAAAAAGTTTACTATATGATCAGCAGTGATGGATTTGTGACCATCCGTGAGGATGGTCACTCCTGTCGCCGCCACATCTCTCCTAAGCGTCGCCATCATCTCCGCAACGTCCTTGTGCTGCTGGACAATACCATCACAAGTGATGCGGCGATAGTTAGGTAAGGACGGAACTACCCGAGACGGACATGTCGCAAGGTGTTTCCTAAACGTGTTGAACTCAGGCCTCTTCGCCTCATGGAACGGGACGCCGCTGATATAGAATCACTGCAGGAAATACGAGTCCAAGTCATGCTGCCACTTTGGATCGAAGGCGTGATCCATGCGTGTCTAACAAAACTTCTTTGTGGCCACTATCGTCGACGGACCCTATAAAGAAGTCTTCCTCTTCTTCGACGTGCCAATGTCAGTGACCGCTCTCTTATCTGCCCTCAACTCTCCTCGGTCACGGTCTGCTTCTCTCTCAACTTCAATTGGAACATCCGCAGACATGTCGTCATCCTGCCGACGGCCACCATCAACACCTCCCCTCTCTAACACTTCACACGCCCTGCCAACCTCTGCGACATCGTCATCCGCCACTTGCTCAGGATCGTCTTCATCCTCCTCTCTAGAGTCTCTGCGTTGTTGACCGAGTTGTCCTCTCTTATCTGCCCACCCCTCTCCGCAAGGCTATGAATCCCCCTAGGCAGCGGACAACCGCGGCCAGGCCGCGCAGCCGACGGACGCGTCCTCACGAACGCGCGGCTTTGGCGCCACGTGGAGGCTAGAGGGGAGGGGGGTTCAGGATTCAGGAAGCGCCATTCGGCGGCGCATCCCCGGCCCCACCCCCCCACACAAAAAAAAATGGAAAAATAACATCTTTTGGTTGGGGGGGTTGAGAAGAAATGAAGAAAAAAAAAAAAGAACACGGTTTTTTTTTTTCTTTTTTCCCCGTTGATTGATTGATTGATTGATTGATTAGTTTCTTCGATTTTTTTTATTTTTTTTTTTGATTGATTTTTTGATTGATTGTTTGATTGATTGATTGATTGACTGGTGGGGGAGGGGTCGCCCCACCCCGCGATTGATTGATTAATTGATTGATTGATTTATTTGATGTTGCTTTTTTTCGTTGATTGATTGATTGATTGGTTGATTGATTGATTGATTGATTGATTGATTGAGTGGTGGGGGAGGGGTCGCAGCACCCCCCCGCCACCCACCA